GCGGGGGGGTCCTTTCCCACTAGAGACCTTCCGGCCAGGAGAGGAAATGAGCCCCTTACTGCAAGGACAGTGAGGGCCCAGGTCTCCGCAGGCATCCCGCACATGGGGCAAGCCAGCCCGGGGCAAAGCCATCCCTACACCTGGCCACTGGCCTGCCCAGTGCCACCTGACAGTGTGTGGCCCTGAAGCCCAGCAGCTGGTGCCTCAGGTCCCAGCTGCAGGGGGTAGAGGAAGCCAGTTAACCACAGGATGCTGATGCTGAGGTCCTCCACTATACCCATAACGCGCTGGCTCCTGAGTCCCGAAAAGCCTCCCTGATGGGACACAACGCGACCGTCCCTGTGGTGCAGGATCTCCCAAGACCCCGGTCCTCACTCTGGACCAGGACTTGACCCAGAGGGAGACAGCGGGTTGCTTCTCCCCTGGGGACAGCAACAAGCAGCTGCCCTTCATTGTCCCTGGACCAGCTGCTCTGTCCTGAGTCCCCACCCCTCAGAAAGCTTAGGGCTAGCTGTTACATACCCCAAGGGACAGCAGAGAATCTGATGGGGGTGGTCACAAATGGCCAAGGGCCACAGGGCAAGGATCCAGAGGCGGCCAGGGCCTTGGGGACCGGGGGAGGAGTTCCTTGCTCCACCAGGGATCCAGAGACACCGGGACACTTTAATGTGTCTTAGAGAAGGGGACAGGGGAGGAGAAAGCGGAGGACTTTCTGTTGAATGAAATGATGGGCAAGGTCAGGCTGTGACAGCAGTGTCTGAGGTCCTGGGGGAGGAGGCGATGAGAACCAGACAAGAGGCCAGGTGTGCGGCCCTGGGGGCTGAGAGGTCCTTGAGGTCACTCAGGGCCCGATCACAGCCCACAGTACCTTGGGGGAGTCCAGAGGACAGGTGCTCCGCCACCTCTCTGAGATGCTGCCCCTGCGCTGCGATGCCCAGGCTACTGTGTAGCACAGGGCACAACTCTTTCCTCCGGTTTACGGCAAAAATAACCACACAGCACCAGGCAGTTTTGAAAAACCAAATGCAGAATCTCACCCCAGTAAACACCCCGCTCCCTGCCCCATCTGAGTCACTGCGCCTGTCTGGGGGCCTCACAGCTCTCGACCTTGGTGTGTGGACTCCGGAGCGTGGCCAGCCCTGTCTACAGTGGACCCGTCACCAGCGCCTGGCACGGGGCATGGATCTGACGACCGGGCCAAGCACGAAGGGACAGCCAGCGGGTGAGTGACCACGGCTCTGTCCTCTCCCTCAGCCCCACAAACTCAGCATGACTGGCGTCCTCCGTGTCCCCTTCAGCAAACGTGTCAGGCCCAATCTTTAAACATTTAGGTCATGTCTTTCTTTTTTTTTTCTTTTTTAATTTCCTGTTGCAATTAATACCTCCTTTCTGAGCTGACAAGAAATCCAGAACTCCTATAGGAAAAGTAGAACAGTTTTGGTCACTTAAGCATCGAAAAACCCTCATATAAGGACGTCATAAATAAAGGTAAAGGACAAGCTGCCACCTTGGAGAGAATATCTGTAAAATGGGTAAGAAGCAAAGAGCTACTGTCCTTTCTCTACAAAGAGCTAGCAAAAGTCAGCAATAAAAAGATTTGCTAACGGAATAAAGGGCAAAGTAGACAAACTCACTGCAGAAACCCAAATGGCCAACAAGCTGGAGGTATGTTGCATTCCACTTTTTGATGCAGAAATTAAAATCAAAACAAGGGTTTCTTCCCTCGTGAGGTTGGTGAAATAAGCAGAATGGAGAGTGTCGTCTTTTGTGGCCACTGAATGGAAGGGGCCTGGTGTTTTAGGACCATGGGAGGACACTAAGTTGGGTCACCTGTTTTGGAGGGCAATTCAGCAATTCAAAAGTTTAAGTGTGTTTCCACCCAGCACTGAAAAGTGTAGAAAGTGCACTTTACCCACGAATCTTACTTCCAAGACCAATTCTAAAGAATGACACGGGAAGAGCATGTTCACAGTGTTTACAACAGTGGTGTCTGGGGTACCGGGGGACACACTGTCAGGGACCCAGAGCCACAGGGCTGGGGCCCCTCCGACCTGGATGGGACTTTGCCTTCTCTGCTACACTGTTTAAAATATTTACAACTGGTAATAACTTCCCAGTTATTGACACCATAAAAGGACACAGGCTGAGCTTGTGTAAATCAAACACTATTAAAACAGGCCCAGGAGCAAGATCCTTGTGCACACCTCCCCTCCCTGTGCACACCCAGACTGTGCAAGAGCACACCGTTCTGTGCTCTAATTCTGGGTGCACCTTGCACTCCCATTCAAATTCATTACCTGTGTGCAAAGCCAGCTGAGTCCTCCAAGAGTAAAGTAGGCCCCCGTCCCACCGGGTGTACACATCCCAGGGCTCCCACCCCAGTGTCCCCAGCACCAGGGAACAAGGGCATGCACAGGGACCCATCTGCAGCAAGCAGGTGCACAGTGTGCTTTGCTCATCCGACAGGCTGATGCTGGCCCTGGAGAGGTGGCAGAGGCAGGAGTGGCTCTAATGCCCTAGTTCCTCTTGGTCTAGTTTTCGTGCGGACAGAGTGAGCACTGCCCACAGGAAGCAGTGTGTGTGTGCTGAGGCTGGGGTGTGCGGCTGAGGGCTGTAGAGCTTGCCTAGATGTATGAGGTCCTGGGTTTGATCTCAAGCACCACAAAAAAACAAAACAAAAACCAGCCATATGAGACTGCAGTCTATGTAGCGGTGGGACAGAAGCCCCTGCCCTGGCTTTCCGAACTCCTTCCAGCCACCATCCATGCTGTCAGACCAGGCAGAGTCCAGGCTCAAGGCTTGCACAGCCCAAAGCATCTCTCCTGGGACTTCCCTGTGGCTATGTGAACTCTGTCACCAAGTTCCCACACCAGGGCCTGGCTGAGGAGCCATTGAGGGCCCAGGGTGCCCAGCCCACCTAGTGGGGGCAAGGGGGTCTCTTACCTTGGGCTGCCTTTCCAGGCAGGTGGGGTGAGGACACCAGGAGCTGATGATGATGGCAACCTCATGCACAGGCCACCCAGGATGCAGGAGGGCGGCTGCAAGCAGAAGGATGTTCTAGCAAAGAGGAGAAAAAGTGGAGTTGTGTCCCCCCGAGAAAGCAGCAGGAACAACCCCCAACAACCTCCAGACTGAATGCAGCTCCAGCCACTTCTCACCACCCAAGGGTGTCAGTGCTATGGGTCACCTGGGCAGCGTCCCAGACACACTGAGAGCTGGCTGCGCACCCCTCTGGGTGTGTCCAGAAGTGGAGCTGGATGGAACGGATTTCAGTGGTGCACCAAGGAAGGCACAGGGCCCTCCCAGGACGAGGTGAGTGGACTTCATTGCATCCCTCAGTCACTTCCCTGTCTCTGGGGCACAATCTCCGACAGCCATGACTTACAAGAAGAGAGGTTTAATGTGGCTTACGGTTTTAGGGGACTCCAGCTCCAAGGCATGAACATGATGGTGAGAGGGCATGGCAAAGGAAAGCTGCTCAGTTCACGGCAGCCAGGAAGGAGGGCAGGGGAAGAATGCCACAGAGGAAGGGGCCACAGCCCCCAACTCCACCCAGACATGTGCTTCACTGATCCCCTGCACAGCTCCCAGGCCCCGGACGTTGACACTGCCATCCTTAACCGTCATACCATCCATCAAGCACCTCCATAGGACACAGGGGCAAAGAAGGGATTTGCTGTTCCAGCTGGGACATCGGTCTTCTGCCCTTGGATCGGGACCCACACCATCAGCGTCCCTGGTTCTCAGGCCACCAGATGTGGATAATAATGTGGCAATGGCTCTCCTGGGCATCCAGCTGGCAGGTGGCATATCAAGGGACTTCTCAGCTCCAAGGCCAAGTGAGCTGAAGCCTCTGAACTTGCACAGGGTGGTCCTGGATTTCAACGGTGTCTCAGTTTAATGATTTCTAACTTTGCTACAGTGCAAAAGCTATGTACATCAATAAAAATGTCTTCCACATTCTGAATGTGGACCTTTCCTCTGCCTGGCAACTGGCAGCATGACCCTCTCTCAGGAGGAGGGTGCATCCCTGGCCAACAGTCCAGACAGCCCTGGAGAGTCTGTAACTCGGTGACTATCCAGTAGGTGGCCAGCGGGACGGCCAGGATGAGGTGGCACTGGCTATCCTGGCTCTGGGGAAGGCCCAGGGCTGGGAGACCCTGTGTGCACCGGGTACTTGAAGTGAGCCAGCTCAGACATCCCACAGATGGCCAGCAGTGCAGGGAGCCACTCAGCACACACATTCTCCAGCTGTCACCCCGGCTAGAAGCAACCAGCTCCGGAGTAGCCTTTCCCAGGCGTCCAGGGTTCCCACCAGAGAGGTCCAGGGTGCCCCAAACCTCTCCTCCTTCCTTGCCGTTTTCCTACACCTCCTGAAGGAAGAGGTGAAGGAAGAGAGGGGACAGCACAGTGCCCACAGCAGACAGCCAGAGGGCAGAAATAAAATTGCTGTTTCAGCTCTGGGTGCGGGAAGAGGCAAGCCCTTCACCCGGAACGCCAGCACCCCGAAAGAGAGGAACGGACCCACTCCCATCCCAGTTAAGTGAGGGTGGCTGCGCTTTTTCCTAGCAGACTGGGCTCAGCAACCCCGCAGGGCCATGCTCAGCTTCGCCCACTGATCGCTGATGACTAACTGACCGCCAGGGGCGGCTAGCACAGGGGGTCTCTACAGAGGATCCCTGGACACGGCTGGCCAGGGACAGGGAAGACAGACGGGGTGTTCCAAAGTGGGGAGGGAGGTGAAGAGGAAGGGGTGAGGGAGGGAGAGAGATGAGGAGGAGGAAGGGGTGGGAGAGAGAGAGAGAGAGAGAGGGAGAGAGGAGGAGAGGAGGAGAGGCGATGGCAGAGCGGGGAGGAAGGCGGGGACAGGGGGGGAGGGGCAGGGGAAAAGGGAGGAGGAGGAAGGGGCGGGGCGGGGCGGAGCCTGCGCGGGAGCCCTAGGCGCGGAGGCGCGCGCTGGTTGGCCGCCGCCCCGCCCCCGCCTTAGCCCCGCCCCGCCCCCGCTCTCTCGGCCGAAAGTACGGCGAAAAGTCCGCGAGCGGCGGCGGCGGCGGCGGCGGCGGCTGCAGGGCAGGATGGGGTCCGGCTCGTCCAGCTACCGGCCCAAGGCCATCTACCTGGACATCGATGGGCGCATCCAGAAGGTACTGCTCTCCTTCCCCCGGCGCGGGCCCGGGGCCTCTTCCCGATCCGCGGGAAGCCTCCTCTCCGGAACCGGGCCGGCCGATCGTGCGCGGCTCCGGGCGCGGGGCGCGGGGCGGGGGGCGGTGCCCACCTGCCGGGGACGGGAGAGCTCCGCGCGCCCACGGTGCCGCCCGGGGGACTCCGCGGACCCCCTTTGTTCCGGGCCGCCCTCGAAGCCCCTTCCCTGTCCGGAGCGTCCCCACCTCTGCTTCTGAGTGGCAGACAGGGACAATGGGCCAGCTGGCTTGGGCCTCTCCTCAGCCCCCCAAGTGCCGGAGCAGAAGCCCTGTGAGGAGAATGCTCCCAGCCTCCGCCGGGCACGCCAGGGAGCCGGGCAGCCTCTCACCTTGCTGCCCGAGGAGGGCCCAGCACAGGGCGCCGAGCGATCCCCAGGCTGAGATGTGCCCCCCACTAGCTTCATTAGACCAGCAGAGCTGGGGGCCACCCCCTGGTCCTGGGGAGTCGGAGATGCAGCTCCCGCTGCATCCCCCGGGAGTCCGAGACTCTTCAAGGACGGGTGTCCAGCTCCCGTCAGTGTGGGCAGTGGGTCAAGGGTCCAGCACCAGGACACCAGAGCTCCTGACTTCCGGGACTGGGCACCCGCCGCTGCTTGGGATGGAGCAGCCTCCTTCTCCCCACAGGAGGGAGGGGCCCTACCCTGTGCGTCCCCTGCCGCAGCACAAGCAAGCACACACACACACTCTGTGTGCACACAAAGGCATGCACAAGCACATGTACAAATGTGCACGATACATGTGCACACACGCATGTGCGTGCATACACGCACACACATGCACAGACATGCATGCATAGCTTCCCTACCCCAAAGCCAGCTGAGGCTTCGTTAAAGATCTGCTCCTTCATCTTTCTAAAGAGATTAGGCGAGCGGGCACTGTCACCAGCCAGCTGCGGCAGGTCCTCCCTGAGAACATGCCCAAGGTCCCCCCGGAAGCTGCTCGGAAGTGGGTGAAAAGTGAAGAGGGGCACAGAAGAGCCCTGGGCCTGCAGACGGGCCCCACGGTGGGCAGGCAGGTTTTCCCAGGTGACACGGGGAGAGAGGTGACCTGTGGGAAGGGCCGGAGGTCGGGCAGGGCACTGGCGGGAAGCTCTCGGAGGGTATTGAGTTGTCTGTGAGGAATATCTGCTACCTGCTCCTTAGACTGTTAGAGGAAGTGAGAGGCTGTCAACAGCGGCTGACAGGGCCTCACAGTGGGCTTCCCCACGCGGCCCTGGCCCAGGGGGAGGGGCAGGAGGCTGGCCATGGTCCTGAACCCCGCCATGATGCCCACTCGGTCACTGTTTGCACTCTGTCATTCGGTGGTTGGGTGCTGGGGATGGACCTTTCATCCTGGTTGAGAGCAGGTCTTCGGGGTTCCTGAGTGCGCTGGCGTGTGCCTCCCACCCCTGCATACCTGCACTGCACCGGGCAGTGTTGTTGGGACGGGTGTGTCAGCTTTCTGTGACGCTCCGCTTCTCTGTCAGCTGCCATTCCTTTGCTGAAAGCCCCAGGCTCTGCACACATCCAAAGTTCCCAGCATGCAACCGTGCCTGTGTCCCTCGATCCATCCCATCTCTCTGACGGAGTCCGGGACAAGCCCATGTTGCTTCCCAGCGGAGGGCTCGGGCCCAGGAGGAGGGGACAAGGGCATACACCACCTTCTGTCACCTTGGCCACCATTCCTGTTGCCGGGCCAGCCCACAACCCTGCATTATCTCTGCTCTCCACCCCTCTGGTTGCCAACTCCTGACCACTTCAGCTCCCCCAGACAGCACAAGATGGGGAGGAAGTGACATCAAAGCCCGGGCTTCAGTGGTGCCCTTGTGCACAGGCTCTGTCTCCTGTGAGCATGACCATGGCGGCCTTCCCGGGACTGCAAGGGAAGCATGGCGATGTGGCAGCCTGCTCCGTGGGTGCAAAATTCCAGACACGTGAAGGTGCCAGCTCACTCAGAGGAGACCTGCAGCGGCTGGGAAGGATGGTGCCTCGTCCTGGGCCACATGGAAGATGTTGCTCCCCAGGGGCTGGAGAAATGGAGGCTGGTTCTGCACGCCTCCATGTTCCCTCTCTGTGCTGGGGAGCAGCTCCGTCACCTCCCTGCCTGTTTCCCCAGCTGTGAAGTGGGCCAGTGGGACCTGCTGTTGCAGGTCAGAGTGGCAGGAAGCAAGCCGCTGTCATGTGCTATGCATGTCTCTGAACTTCTGTGGCTGAGTGCAGTCCTGTGTGACTGGGCCTGGGCCACGCCACCTTGAGACAGGTCTGTCTGAGCTGAGCGGGTGCTGCCTGGGGCCCGGGAGAGCACCCAGAGAAGTACGAAGCAGTGCTTCCGGCTCGCTGGGACATCTCAGGGGCCACAGCAGGGCCCGGGGTGGGCAGTGTGCGTGGGCCACCCTGCGGGGTCTGTGGGGTCAGGAGCTGCCCGGTGGCTGGGGGCAGCCACCTCCACACCCCTGACTTGGGGTACACAGTGGGGACCACGGCAGGGCCCTGGTGGGTTACTGGTGGAGGAGGGGAAGGAGGTGGGAAAGTCGCCCAAAAGAGCTAACACCCTTGGTGTGTGTGCGGAGGGTTGTACTCACCTGCCTGCCTTCTGTCGCTCATGATCCCTGAGCTCCGCCAGGGCCATGCCAGGCATGGCGCTCCCTCCAGTTGCTCTGCACCCAATGTGTCCCCTTCCCCGGCACTCTGAGCTGCCGTGGCTTTGTCCGGGCCTGGCTCTGCAGTTGGAGCCAGGCTTTAATGCATCAACAGCTTCTTGAGTTTTGCTTCACGGGTTTTTTTGTTTTTGTTTTTGTTTTTTGTGTTTTTTTGGTACTGAGGATCGAACTCAGGACCTTGTACTTGCAAGCCAGGCATCAGAACCACTGAGCTAAATCCCCTGCCCTTTAGATAAGGCCAGTTTTCTTTTTTTTTGCTGCGCGGTTTCTGCTGTAAGGCAGGGAGCAAACAAGAAAATGGGGGCAGAGCACTGGACAGCCGCTCAAGTGTCCCCAAGGGCTCTCCTGTGCGTCCTGCCTTGCTTTGTGGCTGCCCTTGACCTGCTGGAGCTTGGTGCTCCCCAGGTTTCCCACCCAGCCTGGCCCTGTTGGCTGGACCCCCGGGTTGGCTTCTGAGTCCCGCCTGCATGTGCCCTCCTGTGGGGCAGGTCCCCTGTGCCAGGTCTCTGGCCTCTGTATGCCCTGCTCCGCTGGTCTCTTCCCGGCTTCGGGGAACCTGGCTGCTGGCTGCCTGTTTCCGTGAGTCCCTGGCGGGCTCAGCCTCGTCACTGTGTGATGAGTGCGCCTGGTCCCGCCTCATCCATGCAGCTGCATGGCAAATCGTGGAGTCCCCTGGCTGGTGGTCACAGCTTTCCCTTCTCCTGAGGCTTTCCTGGCGGGATCTCGTTTTGCTTTGGAACCCGTGTACCAGGCTCTACCCATGGCTGCTTGCTGTGGGCCACATGGCTCTCACTCCCCTGTGCCGAACGAAATGCATCCCCAGCTGGGGTGCTGCTGCCCCCACCCTTGCCATGCCCAGGTGGAGGGTGTTTCCCCTTCGCTGTCCTCACCAGCCCCCAAATAATCCATCTTCCTGTGATGCATTTATTACCTAGGATCTTTAAACAGGCATGGGCATGGCAGGCTGGGCTCAAGAGACAGGGAGCCAGAGAAGGAAGCCGTGTTGGGTGACTTCGCCTTCACCCCTTGATTTCCAGGGTGCCGCAGCATCCTCTCCAGAAAGGACCCGAGGAGATGTGCTGTTTAAATGTCTAAAATGTTTCCCAAAAGGCACCTGTGCCGAGGTAGGGCTTTTGGAAGGTGACTGGATCACAGGGTTAGTCCTCTAATGAGTTCAGGAGCTGAATGAGTTGTCAGGAGGTGGGGCTGCGTGGAGTGGTCACTGGGGCGTGACCTGGAAGGGTGCATGCTGTCCCCACTCCTCCCGTCCCTCTCTGCTTCCCGGCTCTGGCTGCCATTGAGCAATTTTCCTGGCCACACCCTTCCACCGTGCCATTTCTTCCTTGGAGCAGCCTGCCATGGATGAAACCCACTGAAACCAGGAGCCCAAACCTCTCCTCCTGTAGGTTTCGGGTGTCTGGTATTTTGTGTCACCATGGGACCCTGGCTAAGACACGCTGTCCAAGTTCCAGCCCAGGGACATGGGACATTCAGGGAGCAATGGTGGCCGCTCCTCCTTCCCATGGCTGTGGCCTGAGGACCCCTTCAAACACATGTTCCTCACGTGCGGAGGCTAGCGGGGGGCTGAGGCCTGCAGACCCCGGCGCACTCGGGGGCACTGCAGAGGAGGCCTGGCTCCAGGATGGCCCACCCAGTGGCACCCATCTCCTTCCCTTGCTGGCCAGGAGGCCAGAAGTCACTTTCTCCTCTGGGAAGTGGGTGGGTGGTGACGTCCCCGGAGAGCCACTGTGCAGACGATGCTGAGTCATACGGGTCAAGTGCCGGGTGGCGTGGTGCCGGGAGGCTGAAATGCCCTTCCAGCCTCAGGCCTGGCTACACGGCTCCTGGGCACTGCCCAAAGCCCGGCCCTATAAGCTCTGGCTGTCAGAGGATGCGACGCGGGCAGACGAAGGGCACAGCCCGTGGGGTCGCAGATGAGCGCCATGCAGATGAGAGCTGGAGCAGGGACACATGGCGGGCCTCAGTGCCAGCCCCGGTGTCTTGGGCAGCAGCCAGCAGCGAGGCACCTGGTGTCCCTGTGCTGGTGCTGGGCAGGCAGCTGGGGTGGTGAGCAAGCCACAGCCTCCCGCCAAGGGGCAGCACCTCACCCTCCCCATGCAGCCTGCTCCTGGGTGCTGGTGACCAGGCAGCCACCTCTCAAACCCAGAGGACCTCCGTGTCCACCCGGAAGTCCCGCCTTGGCTGACGCTGCCCGGCTCCCTGCCCCGCCTCCCCTGAGTATTTACTTTTGCCTCTGTGGAGCCCTGTCGCCGGCCCCGTCCCAGGGCCACAGGCTGCGTCTCTT